ATTACCATTACAATGTCAAAAATGTGATGACCCATAGTCGTCCCGAATACGACACAGTGGCATATTTATCGCTCGCCATACCTACCCCTGTTGAATATTAATGAGAGCGTAGTATTATTTCAGTTACGTCGATTTTATCGTTCCGTCAATATTTTTACAAACAGCAATTCAAGAATCGAAACGGACGGTCACGTGGAAACCGTCCCGGCATAAACTCACCGGCGTGTAAACAACACCGCACGCGAAATCGTTCGCCGCAACTTCGTTTCAAGGTATATGTGTACATATACATACAAACACACACACACACACACACACACACGGTACAAGCACAATTATCCGCGTTGCATTATTAAACAAACACACTCCGCGTTACATGTCGCAATTTCGCGCCTCCTTATCCGCGTTTTGGAAAGCCGCGAGCGGATCTCTAACTCCAGCACTATCCCGTCGCGATAAATCGTGTCCGCGATTTGCAATTTTATTTCTCGGAACCGCGAGAGATTGATATGCATATCGTTGCCGCGGCGAGCGTCCGATACGTACACCGTTTACACGGTAGCACAATTTCGATCCTCGCGCGACCGTCTCGTCGGAGGAGGACGCCGGACCGAGATCGAACGATCGCGAAAAAAACCGTCGCTCGATAGCCGTATCGGCGGCGGCCGAGAGATCGAACATCACTGGGTTTTCGCGGATTCAAAGCTAAATATTATTCTTCCGTTATCAATTATCGCACTTCCGACCGCGGACGCAGATTACGCCCAGGAACGTTCCCTTTTCTCTCGACGAATTATCGTCGACGAGCGATCGTGTTTATAATTCAGAAATCGGATTATCGTATCGCGACGGGTCAACAGGAAATTAGTAAACGCGAAATTGCAGAGCATTTTAATCGGAATCGCTACGTAAACTATGCGAGCGCCGTTTAGACCGAAACGTGAAACGGAAGCGATTTTTATCGCCGGTCAAATTATCATCGGCGTTCGACAGGGCCCGCTTGCGTCACGAAATTTGCATAGGTTACAGTTTGTCCGTAAAGTCAATTATGTTCGGTGCGCCGAGTAATTTTCTGATCGTCCTCGGATAAGGAAATTAAAGAAGAAGAAGAAGAAGAAGAAGAGGAAAAAGAGGAAAAAGATTGAAAGAGACCGGCGGATCGCCATAAATCGAAGACGATCGCGTGCCCGACAGCATTTATAATTTCACGTTTACAATTCCGCTGAACAGGATTGACGCGACGGTGCATTATAATTCCGAATGGTAGCCGTATGAAGGTTAATTGAATGAATCCTTCCTTTTTGTCTTCTCTTCAGCGCGGAGAATTGAGCGTACGCCTCCGAGGGAATCGAAGAGGACGGCGCAGGCTCTAATGGACAGGAGAGAATTAAAACGCCAGGATGAGAAGAACGAGTCCCAGGTACGTCCGAGATCCGCGGCGCAATAATAAAATCTATCTAATGAAAGCTAATAATAAAATCGAGTAACTTATGCTGCCGGTCGGCTCCGACGCGCTGGAACCTCGAGCGGAGAACGATGAAACGCCACGGAACGGAGCGGAAGGAAACGAGCCGCAGGAAGCCGAGATGATCCCCGGGATTGGAACGGTCACCTCTTTACGGACGAGGATTTTTAGAAGCGTTGGAAGTCTCTTCCGAGGAAAATTGAATTGGAGACGGGACTCTTAAGCATTGGGAAATAAGAGAACCGTATGGACAAATCGGTTAGCTACGTGGGACAAAAAGTCGATGAGAGTGACGCGATGGTTATAGGTTGATTTTTAAGGTTTCTCTTTAAATGGAAAATCGAGGGATCGTTGTAGAGTATCTTACTTTGTTGCTGCGTCGCTTTGATGCGACTAGTGTGGGGAGCGCGTGTAATATCCTTGAAGCAATTTTTATAATAATAATTGTTACTGACATCTTTGAATTTTCTTCTTCTTCTTCTTCTTCTTCTTATTATTATTATTATTATTATTGGTGCTCTTTTGTTATCTCGTGTTACAAAATCTAATAATAAGAAAATTCAAAGACCTTAACGTCAAAATAATAATAATAATTATTATTAGTTCTTTGTTATCTCGTGTCACAAAATCTAATAATAAGAAAATTCAAAGATCTCGAAGCCAAAATAATAATAATAATCACTATCATTGCTCTGTTGTCATCTCGAGTTACAAAATCTAATAATAAGAAAATTCAAAGACCTTAACGTCAAAATACTAATAATTATTATTAGTGCTCTGTTATCTCGTGTTACAAAATCCAATAAGAAAATTCAAAGATCTCAATGCCGAAATAATAATAATCATTATTATTGCTCTGTTATCTCGAGTTACAAAATCCAACAAGAAAACTCAAAGATCTGAATGCCAAAATACGATCCCAAAACACTCGAAAATCGGAGTTAACCGATTTGCCCGATGTGTAGCTCACCCAACGATCTTACATTGTCCACGCAATTAAGTTGCAACCGTAACATTGGATTCTAGATCGCACGAGCCTAATATAGTCAATAATACGGCGTTTTCGAAGGATTCGAATAGCTCTCTTCTATTCCGTTCGTTCCGTATCAGTACATATCAATGAGGGGAAGTCTACAAAACCGAGATACAACGGAACGCCGGTAAAAACCGACGTGGCTAGACACATACAGACAACGCAATCTTTCTATCTTTTTTCGCTTTCCGGCGTGACCGGAAGCGCTCGGACCGACCTCGGCCAAGAAACGGCGTCCACAAAAATTTTATCAGGAACGTTACGGTCGCGACGGTCGGAAAAAGAAAATCGGTCTAAAAATAACGCGCAAGAGAAGTGTTTTCAGGGATTTCCAGCGGCGGCCTGTTTACGCAAAAATGGCGTCGCGTCGCGCCGCATGACAGTGGAACGGGGGATTTCGATTCAGCCGGAACGGCGCTGCGCTGCGCGGCGCGGCGCAACCCAGCGACCTTGGAAACCGTACCTGAACGCGATCGAGAAAATTCTGTTTATTTCGAATGAGACCGTATTATAATTTGTTATGAGGACGCGGTGATTCATCGCGGTGCGCCCGCGACGAGTCCTGGCCCCAAAAATACGACGAATCTCGGGCAGGTCCAGAAAACAGGCTCGAAAGTTGCCCAGGAATTTTTCGATTCCTCACCCGGGACGAACGCGGGGTCACGGTGACGCGCGTCTTCGTCGCCTTTGTCTCTGAATTTCGCGGTGGACACCGGAACTCGGTAGATTTCCAGTCGATGAGCAACCTCGAGGTTCATCCTCTGCGGTCGGCCGCCGCCGTAATGGCGGCTTCGAGCGTCGATGTCGAAATTCGATGCAAATGAAGAATTTCGTCGTTCTGCCGACGAGAAATTGATATTTCTGGTTTTCCCCTAGCGTTTAGGACTTCGTAACACTACAATCGAGTTTATGGAAAGATTTTCGGTTTATAATTCTCGCTCGCGAAGGGTTAACGCTGAAACTAGCAGTTCAATTGACAAAATTTCGCCATAGAAACTTTGATTTACAATTCAGTTTGCGTGGTGATAAATGAATTTAATACTCGGAGAAACATTTGCTACCTTTCTAATCGCAAAAAGGAGGCACGGGTCGTTTGACCCGTCTGGTAGTTTCAGTGTTAAAGAAATTCGACGTGCCACGAATTCTCATCGATCGGTTACGGCAACTCCTCTTTTTTCTTTATCTTTTTCCTTTCGTCATTATCGGTTTTGTTCGTAGAAGCAGTGGTTTTTTCTTCGCCGTTTCGAAATACAGCCGGCTAATCGGCGGACTGATACAAAATCAGACTGCTCGATGCGGTCGGCGGCGATTGCAGTTCCATGAATCGGCCATTAGTAATCCTTAGGTGTCTCCCACGGTTTGCGGTTACGATAAAGTCCCACTCGGCCGGCGAGGGGGGAGAGAGAGAGAGAGAGAGAGAGAGAGAAAAAAAAACTGAAAATAAAATGATATATCGCGAAGTAAAATGAAGATCGTGGTACCACTAACGTGTTTACACTCCGCGATGTCGAGACATCTTGGTGCACTATAAATACACGGGCGCATAGGCGTAATCAACGGAGGAACGGACTTACTTTTCGCGTTCGATTCAAATGAAAACACTCTCGGCTGGTTCGGATGAAATCGATAAACTTGTTTACGATGTCTCGGCTGGGACAGATTCGCCGAAACGAGAAGAGCGAATTGCTCGCGCCTCGGTCTAGTAGTCGAATTACTAGACGCATGCTTCGATATGTTGAAGTTATTAGTATTATCATTGCAATAAGCGAGCAAATCGAATTACACCTTGTTTTCAGAGAACAATAAAATGCATTTGTAGAGCGCAATTTGTAATCAGTAGTATAGTATACTTCTCGAGAGAATATTAACCTGTTAACTGTGAAATTTAGTTCGAGAAACCTCTCGTTCTGCGTCCAATTATATAAAAAATGGAGGCTGTACTCGTCGAACGCAGGACAAATGCAGAGTATATTTTAATGAAAGACCAAAGCAAAGAAGAATTACTTATCTGAAAAAGTATCAAGATTTGATTTCATAGGGGTTAAGAAATCAGTTTCATTAGTAATTACGCGAAGCACCTGTTATCTTCTTAATAACTTAGGAAGGAGGATGTAGGAGGTGAATTCGACCTATTTGAAGTTCTAGTTCGAAGATCGTGCTCAGAAACACAGTTTTGTTTAATTATTTGTCACTGCAATAGGTAATTGAGTCAGTTATAAGTTTAGAAGTGGGAATCATCAAATTTTACCAGTTTCTCCAGGAGAACTCCCTAACCGTGATTTATCATTACTCTTCTGTACCTAAAGCAAACGGTTATAACCGTAATTCGCCTCTATATCGTTAAAAAATGGACGTCCGCTAGATGCGTCGTCGATCGAGGTCGAAATGTTTGTGATTGTTACGAATTCTTCGGCTGGACCACGCGAAACAGGTCTTGTATTGTGATGGTACCGGCATTCCAGGAAAATTTGGAATGCGAGGAACCGTCAAAACGTCTGATTCCCTCGCTGCGCTTCTTATTTGGTAACCAGCCGTTTTATTAATAGAACCCCGCGATCGAAAAGAGGAAAAGAAGAAAGCCATTGTTAAGTAGTTCAACAGAGACGTTCCAGTTTTTGCGACAGGTTGCGTCGGCCGTCGCGAAAACAAGGATCCTCCGTCGCTGGAAATGTACGTTTATTGGCGAACCGATTATTGCACGCCGAGCGTGATGATTCGATTTTTCAACATTTCCAGAACACAAACACGAACGGAGCAGGAAGAAAGCAGAGTGTTATCTCCGCAACTTATGAAACTCGCTGTCCTTATCCCAGAATGACCGACTGTATCACGCCGCGAGCAACACGCTTTGTTCGTTTTTTGAAGATCGGCTCCGCTTATCGCGAAGTTCGCGCGATCGAATTATCTGGAGAACCGGCGAGAATCTACACGAATCTACGAGAATTAGTGTATACAAACGAAATTTAACAGAATCCAACTGTGTCCTTTCGACTCGTTCGGCAAATTCGAGCGTTAACCCTTTGCGGACGAATGCCGACAGTTTACCGAGATCAAACTTTCGTGTTTGTGATACTAAGTTGCAAACAAATGACTCCACTAGTCGAACAGCAAGAAATCAGTGGAACATTTCCTTATTCCGTGTTAGTCAGGCATTTGATGCGTGATTTAGTGAATCTAGAAACGGTTTTGTAGAGTTCAGAGAATCTTCGTCAGCAAATTCAAGCGTTAATCCTTATAAATTTTGATATATTTCTCATCTATGTGATGATTTATGTAAGAACATAAACAGAAACATGAACATAAACACTCTACACACTTGTTTCATCGAAGGAATCTCGATGAAGTAAATAATAGTCGATAAGCGACTTCCGTTTTCGACATAATTCATTAAATTGTTTATTGACGAGAGCCATATCTCACGACAGCTTCCGTCATTTATTGACGACAGCCATAGTTAACCCTTAGCAGTCCTATGTCGAGTCAGTCTCGACATTCCATTTTATTGCAACCTCTACCTTTTAACAATTTTTTCTACATTTATTTGTAGTATTACAATTGTACCATTTAAAGGTAACATTTTAATGACTGCCAAATATTGAATAAATAAATAGAGCGTCATATTGAGCTGTAATTGAATGAACTAAGCAAAGAGCGGTGCTTCAAGCTACTTCCGGTGAAACTTGGAAACCTTCTATACGGACGTCTAAACGAATTACAAGTGACGTTTCTATTTTGCCATTTATAAATCCCTTGATCATTATAGTCTTCGTTGTATCAAAAGTCTTCAATCTTGTTCGAATTTTACTATTAGTTTCGGAAGTATTTAATATATTATAAACAATGGATTTCCTTAAATCATCAGTATCACTGCAGCTCGACCTGTGATCCCGAGGAAGTGTTTTAACCTTTTGCACTCGGCGGATTTGTCACTATAAGTATAATTTTCCAATTGAAATATCAATAATATTTGTTGCAACCGACATAACTAGAAATTAGAGATAAGGTAATCATTAACCTCTTGCCTTACGGTTTACTTCTGCGCGATGATTGATGCAGCTACTTTGTCATTAATGATTCATTAAGGGAAAGTACAGGATTGTAAGCATATTCTTTATCAATCTTTGCTCTGAAGTGTAACAAACGATAACAAAAGAATGTCTTATTTAGATTCAGAAAGATTGAGTAATGTTTATGCTTGTTGAAGTCTCTTTGAAATATTCGTCACGTGCCTGACACGATATTGCAGGCCAAGGGGTTAACTGAGTGAACTATAGTAATCCAATTCGGTTGCGGGTCACCGGTGACCCCATAGTATTTATCATAGTTGTTAGTAAATACAGCAATATAAACATATTTTAACCCTTTAAACTCAGTAGATGATATCATAGAATAAAACTATAAAATCTGATATTCAATATTAAACTTAATGCCTCGATGCATAAAATATTGAAATAAAACAGCTTTCTTCAATGTACTATTTCCAACTAGTTTCAAGCAACGTCTTACTCTCAGAAAATATTAACCCTTAGCACTCCAGGTTCTTTTGTAATCTATCAGCAACTGCAAATAATTTATATGGAAAATTGAATAATTGTAGGGTAGTTTCTTTAACACTAAAACTACCAGAGGGGTCAAATGACCCATGCCTGATGTCTTCTGATGCTATAGAAACTCCAAGAGTGCATCTGTTCAGACTTCAATTGATTTACAATTGAATTTGCATAGTGCTAAATGAATTTAACAATTTCTCAGAGAAACATTTGTTACCTTTCTAATAATTGCAAAAAGACATCAGGCATGGGTCATTCGACCCCTCTTAGTTCTACTGTTAAACAAATTTTATTGCCCAGTGCGAAATCAGGTAACCAAGAGTCACCTCTCGAGCACAAAGGGTAAGGGCAAAGAGTTGAAGGGTCCCAAGAGCGACCTGACCCAACAGCGTGGCGCGCAGTTCGTTTCGAATCGACGGATCGCGTTCCAGATCGCGAGGAGGCCGCCGCCAATGGCGCGTATCTGCAATTATTGCGTCAGCAGTGGCAGGCCACGTCGCCGGTGATTGGCCGGCCCCGTAGAGCGGGAAATCCCCGTTGAAACCTGCTCTTCCGCGCTGTCCGTCCCCGCGGGTACCGCCGCTGACGTCTTTCGCGTCACGGCGAGCAGCCGACCCCGGGGCTTTGTCGGAGACATTCCGACGACCGGGTGATCAGTATCGCCGTACGCGACACCATGGCGACGTCGCCGCGTATCCGTTAACAGTGATGCGATCCGTTCCCCGACGACACTTTGTGACACGAGCCAGGTGACATCGCGTCGTACCGATAGCCATCCAGTTATTATTATTTTCCATCGAGCATCGAGCATCGAGTTCGTCGCCAGTGCGACTCACCAGTGCACTACCACAGGGACATGGATTTGTTTGATACCTACCCCAGGATCGAGTTGTCGGAAGTGAGTCGCAGTTTAACTTCATTCCGTATTCGGGATTCCCCGCTCCTCCGAACCGCTCGCTCTCTCTCTCTGAGTCATGACGTTTTCGCGGCTCTATCGTTGTTTTAACCCTTTGAACTCTGTAGGGTCTAATACTGAAACAGTTCTGATGTTAGATGTTTCAATGAATTTTAAGGAGACTGCCTTGAGATTGTTAGATCTTGGAATGTGCTAAGTTTGCACTGAAGGAATTGAAGGTTTAAGAGATGTAACATTGTTAATTTTCTGTAGGATCAACATTGGTAGTTGATGCATCAGAAAAGTATGTGGTAAGGGTTAACACATCGCGTAATTTTCAGAAAATTGAATTGATGGAAATTTTCAATGAGGTCAAATTATTTGATTATACAGACGAAAATTCAGATATATTGTTGTATTATATATTTTAAATGGATAATCGATTCGAATGAAGTTTTATATTTTTTGAAATACTGTGGTAAATAGCAGTCTTTATAAAAAAAACAAGATTTCTCGTTACCAGTATGCAATAGTTAACACATCGCGTAATTTTCAGAAAATTGAATTAATGGAAATTTTCAATGAGGTCAAATTATTTGATTATACAGACGAAAATTCAGATATATTGTTGTATTATATATTTTAAATGGATAATCGATTCGAATGAAGTTTATATTTTTTGAGATGCTGTGGTAAATAGCAAAGTTGCGTAGCTAAGTGTATTTTATATAAAAACGAGATAGTGGGTAGTTCTAGTATAACACGTTGACTGTCACGAAAAACTTGAGCGTTTCGTGTATCACTTATTCTTTTGTACTGATAATGTACACAATTATCAGGTTACACTGTGATCCAGTTATTTGCGTTATTAAACATTTTCATTCGACGCTAGGTACCTTACGAATTACAATTGTTTTCGAGTTATTTGAAAGCTTCGGTCATCGATGACCATAGTGGCAGTGAACGTGCTAACCTGTTGCACATATACTCTTTATTTTTTTTAACCCTTCGCGAACGAATGTCGACGTTTCGTTCGTTTTTGGAAGATGAATTGGAACATTTATCATTTTTTAAGTTGAAAATTCGAAAGGTGTCTTTTGAAACTGCCAGTAGAAATAGTGTTAACACTGGGTTCACGGACATTTACGTTACAGTTTGTTTTATCGTTCTTAGATAAATTATAGATAAATTAAAAGTAGATAATTAGGATATATATTTGTGTAATGTTTACCAAATAATGTTTATAAAATTCAATAAAAGTCAATCAGTCGTATGACTGTTTTGATAACATGTATACATGAATGATTGTCGTGGTAGGTAGAGCAGAAATCATCGTATTTAGAGTAATTAAATGTGATGTTTTGTTGACAGTACAGGTGTCTGCCTATGACATTGACATTGTAACATAATTCTATTTGCACTGACCTGTTGCTCGTACTCGAGTGTAACTAATTAACTTAATTACTTGTAATTGAATTATTATTCTTTTCATGTATTGTGTTTTCTAAATTGAGTCTTCTGTTTCTTGCTAGATGTTTAGTTATTGGGAACCATCAAGTATATACTTTTAAGATCGTATATAGGTTATCTTGACAAAGTTGCGGCGAGTATTAAAACTAAATGAAATCAGTACTGTTTTCAATTAGACCAGTGTTTCCCAACCTTTCTTGTGCCATCTCCCATCTATGTTTCTCTAAAATTCTTTAAAAAATTATATCTATTAAAAATTATATATACTTATAATATTTACGCACGTGAACGAAATAGCAAAAATATTATAATAAATATAAAAATGTTACAACAGACATAAAAATATCATAATATAATCAAAATTATATATATAACATTTTTATAATATTTATTATAATATTTCTACTATTTTGTTCACGTGCATAAATATTCTGAAATATATCAAGTGATACTTCAAATTTCAACCCTCAAAAATCAAATTGCAACAGCCCCACGTTGGGAAACACTGAATTAGACACTTCGCGAATCCAGAATGATCCTCGCGCTACAGTAATCGATTTAGAACGTTAATTATCCTCCGATTATCCTCCGTTGATCCAATAAATGTTCGCCGAGTGTGATGTTTTTCCTGTTTATGTACATAGATTAGCGTTTCACTTGACAAGCGTCGCTCCGTCCACACGACGGTTTACACTGCGCTTTGCAAACCGTGTTACGTGTTGTCAACAAGAACCATCGTTCTTCTTCTCTCCATAGTTAACGTCGCTGTGACGCGCGCGCTGCTGGCGCTCGAACTTGCCGAGAAATCGAGGATGCGTTCGAACAGAAAAAAAAAAAAATTAATATATTATTCGCGATAGGACGTGACGCGTCGTAGCACTATTTTCTTATCTCCTTAATGAGTTCCATGAACATATTTAAGCTTTACGTAACACCGTTGAAACAATGTTTCGCGTAAACTGTTGACAGGTGTATGTGTTGGACGAAGCGCCCCTTGGAATTAACAATATACATTTTTATCACGCGAGTATTCCACTATTTCGCTATTCAAATTGCATCAGGCTTGTATCGTGGTATGTGCATCTACTAATTTGTCCTTCGGTGACAATACGAGGTACGCTCCGAGTATTTTTATGTATTTCATTCGTGCGCCTGCGTGGACGAGGTTAATGGGAAGAAAGGATTATTCAAAATTGTAATAAATTGTGGATGCAGGGATTCGAATAGTAATGACTAAGGTATATATATTTTAATTATTTCCATTGAGAATTTGAGATTAAAATTGTTATAATCTAAAGATAATAATAGAATAAAATTTATACTAAGTATATATAGTCTGGAATGTAATATAATTTTTAACGATCCTTTGTTTCCCATTAATCTCGTCAGATAAACAAAACATAATACTTGGTATCTTATATTGTCACTGAAAAATTAGTAAATTAAGTAAATACGTAATATTCATAATTAACGTGTGATACTGCTCAGTGGTTATTAAGTGAATGTTACAATTAACACAGAATTTACATCTTTGATTTATTATACTGGGTTGGAATATAAAACGCAGTACCACTTTGTATCAAAGTTCGAAAACCACTGCTAGACCAGTGTTTCTCATCTTCTACGTATGACTTAATACATATATACATCAATAAATATTGTGAACCAAATGTTCATTGTATAAAATCAATGTTAACTATTAATCATATATTTTACATTCTCTATTTGACCCATAGGTTGAGAAAATCTGTTCTAAAATGTTTTCCATTCGGTTCTACAATTTCCCGTTTATATGGACAAAATATCGTGCACGGAGAAGAGGCTTAGGTACTGCGATCGTTGCGCACTAGAACAAGAACAAAGCAGAACCGATAAACACGAAAATAATAGCGACCAGTAATTTGCGGTATTAGGTTATAAGTGTACGCGACTTCGCGCCAAACGCCTAGGGGCAAATAGAAAAAGAGATAACACGTTAGAGGAGAACAGGCCGCGGATATTTATTGTAAATTAGCGATACCTGTTCCGTGCAGATATTCTGCTTATGATCGCGACGCAAATGCGGGCTTCAGTCTCGGGGAACAGCCAGGCAATCTCGTTGCCTCTCTTAACCCCTTGCCTTGCAATAACGTGTCGGACTCGTGGTGAAGATTTTAAATATTTATAAATATCGAATTCTTGTACAGTCAAACGAAATATTACTCTTTTGTTATCAATCATTGTATTTTAGACACAGACTATGCCTAGAATCTTTTTATTTTCAATGAATTAAGATTTTAAACAATATTTATAAATATTATCAAATTCTTGTACATTCAAATGAAGTATTATTCTTTTGTTACCAATCACTATATCTTAGACCACATATAGACACAATATGTCTAAATTTTTTGTTATTTTTAAGGAATTATTAATGATTATGTAGTTGTATCGATTATAGCTACCAGTCAAAATGGCTGGTTTCAATTTTCTCGTTTCACAATGATTGGTGCCTCAAAAGCATTTCAGTATTCGAAATGATTTCAAGAACATACAGTTGAATACTATAATAAATGTCTAAAGAAACGTACAATAATCTATTGTTACAACTTGTACAGAGATTACATATCAGTCATATTAAATGCTCGGTAGTTCCATAGCGTTAAAGAATAGGTGAACGTTAACAACAGATTTTCTTCGAATATTCATTACAGCAATCAAGTAGGAATATTTATTTCGCGAGTCGTTTCAAGTATTTAACACTTCCATGTTATTAATAATTGCGAAACAGGAGAAATAAACAGCCAGACGTTTCGACTGTTACAGTGATTCTAACGTCGAAGTTATCGACAAGGTCATTAACGACTCGACTTCGTTTCGAATTTATTTTGTAACACGACACGTTCTCGGTTGCAGGTGTTCCCGTCGTTCACCAACATCAACGATGACGACGATCATTTTCTGCTGGACATGGACTCCTTGGTTGCCAGGAAGAGCAACCCCCTGACGACGCGCAGTTGTGAACCATTGCGGAAAAAATGTATTTTCGGTAATCCCGAGAACAGTTTCTTAATTTGCTCGAGATCATGGTCAGCTAGCACTGCAGACGCTTTATACCCCCTCCAATGGCACAATGGGAAACCATGTTGGGCAACTCTTACCGATGTGGTTTTGTTTGAACATGGTTAGAGGATCAGGGGAATCCCCGGTGCAGCACGGTATTCCCAATGAAAGACTCACAGAGATCAGTAAAATATATGCAAGCTCCCCATTTAGTATTACAAAATTGCTGCAGATTCTTTGAGAATAAATAAACGAGGAAAACATGTTTTCAAACAAATCTGGAGGAAATGCTTTTTATTAGTACAGTTAAGAGATAATTAGTCTAGGCAACTGCACAGGGCAAGAGGTCTTCCTAGTTTACATAGCTTCAACTGATCACGTGTAACCTTATTGATGAATAGTCAATTATAATAAAACCAATAAAAGATTGAGTGTGAAAAATGCAGTAGTACACTGTCTTTGAGTATTCAGGGGAATCCCCTTTCCATATGTCTCCAGCAATTGTTAGCTTCTTATGATATTTCTTAGCTTGTACATGTTTCTTGGTGTATATATAGTTTTGTAATATAATTGTCTATTCGACAGGTGAGGAGAACAACGAGATTGACGGTACCGGATGGCCGGACAAACCCGTGAAACTCTGGTGCCAGGAGGAGACGATAAGTTGGCTGATGTCCGCGGCGTCTAGCATGGGACAACCATACAGTCTGATCCAGCACAGCCTCGCAGTGCCCGGCCGCGACTTGGTCAAGTTCAAGAGGGAGGATTTCATCAATCATGATCCAACGTACGGAGACCGACTTTACCACCTACTCAACTCAGAAACATTGCGTACGTGATCACTGTTATTCCAAACACTTCTGACCAGTGCAATGAAACATTCGATGAACATATGTAACTTCAATACATGGTGAATATATGAAACGTTAGGTCAGCAGTGGAATCTTAAAATGAAGATAATAAGAAAATTAGGAAACTTGTATGAGATATAAACAATATTAGAAACTGGGAAAGTTTCATTGCTAGAGACTCAAGCTCTAATATTTAGTATTATATATCTTCCCAGAAATGGGTTGATAATCATGGGACAGAAAGTAATGAGTTACTTTATTTGCAGTACCGTCGTTCGACACTATTCACCCTCATTCCGAAGACGAGTACACCAGGCCCAATTCCAACCCTGCATCAGGTAGCGAGTGTTTTGGTTCACGCGCAAGGAGTCTGACCCAACTCGAGCATCGAAGAATATAATCTTTGAGATTGAGGATTATACTATCATTACTGTTATCATCGTTATTATATTCATTTCTTCTATGTACACTTGAACCACGTTTGTATTTTCACTTGTACACGACTGGGTGAAATTGGGAGAAAATATATTATCTCGGTGTGGCAAGTCTGTATTAATAAAGTTTCAGCATCAATTAGTTTTAAAAGCATTGATAACGAAAGGGGCTGTTTCAGTTACTCTAAACGCCACCTATGACTAAACAACTTTGTTCAAGTTCCTTATTTTTTCAAAGAAAATGATCTTTTGCATCTGACATTTCATTCAAATTAATTTTTCAAATATTTTTTTAAACAAGTTCATTGTCTCCGACTCTGTTAGTTTTTTCTGAATCGTTTCGTGCGAGTTGGGTGGTACTCCTTGTCGGTGGCATAATTTAAATCAGAATATTTCCTTAATTATACCGGTACAATAAATTTCGTATCTTTGTAGATACGGAATCAGACAATAGTATCGAGGTGTCCATCAAACGGCCACCGGGCAGGCCGAGAGTGTTGAAATCCAAGAAAAAACGTAGGTATTAAAAGGAATCGTTAGGTTTATGTAATTCCGCTGACGTTATATAATTCTTCTTCCAGCCACCAGCCAAGGAAAGCTCTGGGAATTCATTAGGGACTTATTGCACAACCCGAAAACGTGTCCCAGTTTAATATGTTGGGAGGATTATTCGCAGGCGAAGTTCCGATTCGTAAAAAGCGACGACGTTGCGAAACTGTGGGGATCAAGAAAAGGAAACAAGAACATGACCTACGAGAAACTGAGCCGAGCCATGAGGTAATTAATCACATAACTAATTAATGTAACATTTAACCGATCCGTACAGGCATTGGAAATATCTTCACGTGTCGACAACCATTTTTTCCAGGTATTATTACAAAAGTAAAATTTTTCTTCCTGTACTCGGCCGGAGGTTAGTCTATCAATTCGGGCCGAACGCGAAAGGCTGGCAGACTGAAAATCCGAACTTCCGGTGTTAATCCACCGTCACGGATTCCCCGGAGATGTAACAAATACTTTTGAAGTTTCGAGCATTGTAAAAATTGTACAGAACCCGGTAACAGATTTGTGATTTGCAAACAAAGATACTTCTAACGATCAGGATGATTTTTGTCAAAGCGTTTTTAATATGTGTTAGATGGAAGTATTTTTCTCGGTAAACAAAAAGAAAGTGTTTAAGAAACTATTTAAACGCCGTCTCGATTAAGAACTTTAAAAGACTAAGAAAAAAGATCTAGTATTATAGATGGTACACGTTGACTACATGTAAATAACATGAAGACAGTATGAATGAACAGAAATGTGGAGAGTTTTCATATTTTGCTGTACGCGTGTTTTTCTGTATGAACCGGCGGGAGTGCGGCGTGTGAGTATGAATTGAACCTTAGACACGTAGGATTTTTACAGTTTTATTTAATTTTAAGTTTTAATAAGATCGTTTACTTATGTAAAAGTATACATATAATCAAGAAAGGCAATAATTCTCGTGACTTACAATCAAATAAATTCCTATTACTTATTCTTTTTTTATATCACCGTTGTTGTATTGTGTATACCTTAATCTTGGAAGCAATGGTTACCTTTTAAATCGATCCCCGGCTAAGTTGAGACATTGGATCGATCTTAAAAGACGCTACGTTAACATTATAAATAACAATTCCCCTCTAGATATATCTCTTGGAGAGAACTCGAGGAAAAATATTTTCGTTTCTGCGTTTTTCGCGCGGTCCTTCCGCAAACTATGGAAAAAATGGACTATCAGTTTCAATACGCATCGCGTCGATTAACTCTAAGAGATCGTTAAGAGTCAATAACTGGATACTTATTCTACGGTAGCACATGCAACGATATTGGCAGAAATAGCTTTAACGTTAATTTCGGACGAAATTTCAATTGTCTGTTAAGAAGCGTTTAAATAGAGTGAATTTAAAATACGTAAGTGTAGTGGTCGGAAACATATAGAAGCGAAGAAGATAGCCGTCAACAGCGTCGTGGTCAATAAACTGTTCTGGACCCTATGTA